CGAAATCACATTTGGACCACGTAGTCATGAACCAAACAGAGAAGACAAGATGAAAACGAAAGCTAGACCTGAAACCGAAAAAGAAACATCAGTTCCTGGGCCATGGGATAGTGGACAAAATCCTCAATWTGRAAACAATGTTCAAGCCAACTCCATGGWAAATGAGAMAAAGCAAATCAACAGCTTTACGTMCCAACAACCTCAAACGACYGCAAGACGRYACAGTRCCGSTCACCTTTATTTAMAGAAAGTACYCCRAGACCAGGTCTCCAGCAAAAACATGGTTCAAAGTATGCCYGCAAGRAGAGAGGCTGTCTGTGATTTCACTAGTGACATCCATTATCAAGGGAAAACACAAGCCCGAGTCATATTCAAGCGCTTTGGGGAAGATTTTGAAAGTGGTAATGTTCGTATAGCAGCACAGGCCGGGTCCAATTCAAACATGAAACGCTTTTTGTCTTTGAAGTCTGTCGTATTCAATAGATAAGGTTATTATGAACTCTCATATTTGTAATTATATATTTATTACTATTATAGTCGTTTACCCGTCAAAAATTCACGGGAACTAAATCAGTTTAAAAAAATTAATTCGTGGATTAACCCTTAGCAAAAAATCGTTTCATATTTTGAAATTTCTTCAATGTGTGCGGCTAGTATACTTGCTATTGCCATATTTATGGAATAAGTATTTGCAGTGTCAATTAACTTCAGTAACTGAAATTATATCATGGAAAACGATGTTCCTTGTATAGGTAATGTCATCTCTGAGGAGTCTTTAACTTTCACACTAAACTGATCGAATGCTTTGACCAGGATAACTGCCTTCCTGCACAAACAGCTCTAGGTTCGAGTTCCTTCCTGCAAACAAACAGCTCTAGGTTCGAGTTCCTTCCTGCAAACAAACAGCCCTAGGTTCGAGTTCCTTCCTGCAAACAAACAGCCCTAGGTTCGAGTTCCTTCCTGCAAACAAACAGCCCTAGGTTCGAGTTCCTTCTTGCAAACAATCAGCCCTAGGTTCGGGTTCCTTCCTGCAAACAAACAGCCCTGGGTTCGAGTTCCTTCCTGCAAACAAACAGCCCGGCCTAAGTTCGAGTTCAATCCTGCAAACAAACAGCCCTAGGTTCAAGTTCCTTCCTGCAAACAAACAGCCCGAGGCTCGAGTTCCTTCTTGCAAACAAACAGCCCTAGGTTCGAGTCCCAAGATGTGGAAATTATCAATTTCCATGTTTTGGTTGTTTATTAGATCCGTTTTTCTCTATTTACGTCTT